GTGGAGTTAATCCATGGTAAGAGCTTTTTCTAATTTTTATTTCTAACTAATACAATTAGATAAAGAAGCAGTTTATATCCAAAGTTATACTATCATTCCCAAGGGAGTAGCTTCTATATATAAAAATCCTTATTTGTTTATCTAAATTCAAAGATTCTAACTACTTGCCTTTGTTTTTACAAGTCACAATCAAACTATGAATAGACTAGATAGTTACCTATGAGGAAGGCAAAGAAAAAAAAAGTAGTACTAATAAAATAAATTTAGACAAAGAAAACAAAATGGCAATTCCAAAATTATCACAAACCCTAAGGTTTAATTCACATGTTTTCATATACACAAATACACTATATATTGCATAGTACCATTAAACCATCCAAGTAAGTTTACCAAATTACAATTTTTTTTTGTCCATCTTGTAACATCAACCCCCGCACCCCCACCCCCACGCACCCACCCATAAAAAAAAACATCTCTCCTCTCTTTCTTTAATTACCAGAAATCAGGGAGAATTTTCTGGTTCTTGTCTTTCTCTTCTTCTAAACAGCAAATCCTAAGTTTTGTTAGTTTCTAAAACCTCAAGATATATAAGAAATAGATAAGCCTCATCAATCTATATTTAGCCTTTTGCTTTCATTATTATTTATTCTTTCAATGTCAAACTCAAACCTCTCTTCTGGGAATAGTAGTGAAGAAGCAGATGAAACTCCTAATGTGTTGTCAAGTACAAGTGATGGATCTAGTGCTCATCAAGAACAAACTCTTCCTAATAATAAGAAAAGAAGAAAATTACCTGGAAATCCTGGTAAATTTAATTCCTTAATTGTGCTAGCTGTAGTTTTAATTTACTATACATTTTCCTATTTTTCATCCATAGTAGTTTCAAGATTATGATGGTTCGATCTAATTACTCCTCATGTCTCAATTTATATAACGTGCTTTCTCTTTTAGTTTGTTCCAAATTAAAAAGTATCTTTTATGAGGATTCTATCTCATTTTGTTCTTGTTTAAACTTTGTTCACAGACAAATACCTGTCACATAAATTAAAATGAAAAGACAATAATAGATTGTCAGATTAATTTTGGGTCACAAATTAGCTAATCATACAGTACCTTGGATCACTCTACCTTACAAAGATAAAGATAAGGTTACACAACCTTTCTCATATTCTATTTATCAAATTATACTGAATATGTTATTATGATAAAGATAAAATTACACAACTTCCCTATATTTTATTTATCAAATTATACTGAACATATTGTTATTGTTATAAATTATCTAGTCATACAGTACTTGGGTCATGCTCTAATGTATAAATATATGGCCGGCAAGAAAATTCAATTTTTGTTTGACGACAAATATTCATGCAGAAAAGAATTTGGATTTTACCCATTTTGTTTTCTTTAATACTTTTTTTAGTGGTATACTAATTGTGTAAAGAATTAATTAATTAATTAATTAAAACGAGATTGGAAAGTGATAAGTATGTGTAGGTAGTTGAAGGTTTGAATACTTCAATTATTGGTTCAATAATTGGAGTAAACTGTTGCATGCTGCGTAGATATGTTGGCATATTTATATTACTTCTTTTCTTTTTGTTTTTTTAACTGTTTCATGAAAGGAACTTTACATATGTTTCATGTGCATGCATGGATATTAATAATACTCCCTCCGTCCCTTTTTAGTTGTCCACTTTAGAAATGACACACAGATTAAGGCAACAATGATTAGCATAGTGAAGTTACAATTTTACCCTTATGACAACTTTTCACTTCAAAATTACAACCACTTATTTGAATTCAAGTGAAATAAATTGGAGGGAAACAACATACACTTTTACAATTTTCAAGAAGTGTAAATAAGGGTATAATAGGAAAAAATTTGTTGTCCTTTCTTGATTTGTCAAAATGGACAACTAAATAGGGACAACCAAAAAAGGAAATATGGACAAGTAAATAGGGACGGAGGGAGTATTAATTATATGTATCATGTCTGCATTTTCTCTTCAATTCAATTTTTTATATTATAAAGTTATTTTCTTATTGTTGTTATTATCCAAAAAAAAATAAAAAATCGTTCATACACGGAAGTCATCCTTTTATTTTACAACTATATTTTCCTAATGTTACTTAATTCATATATAAAGCATTTTACCAAATACTTAAAAAAAATGGGCACAAGGAATATAAATTCCTAATGTTACAACTATATACTCCTAATGTTACATCATTTAAAATTAATGTTATGTTGTTTGATTTGCATAGAGGGATGAGTAGAATTTGAGCGAGTCAAAATAAATTGAATTAATAAATAGGTATGAGTTATTGATCCGCCCTAAAATTACATGGGCTTAAATAAATTGGACTGAAATGAACTAAAGAATGGACCGTAACTCAATCCATTTTACAATTTTATTGCTTTTTAAAATTGTTTTTTAGTACCTAATATTTTTTAGGGAAAATTGTATATAATAGCAAACTATTAATTCAAATTAAATGCTATAAATATAGTTTGATTTAATTGTACCTCATAGCAAATTGTTGCTATTTCACCTCTCTCGTGGTGAATCTCGCTCGCCACTCTCATTCTCTCCCTCGCCTCTCTCGTTTTTTATATAAACGCAAGTGTATAAAGTGCGTTTGTGTTTGTATAAAGCGAGAGAAAATTGTATATATACATATATTTTTGTTCCCCTCTCTCCCCTCTCCCAGATCTCGCTCGCCACTCTCCCAGATCTCGCTCTCTCACTCGCCTCTCTCACTTTATACAAAAACGCAAATGTATAAAATGCGTGAAAATTGTATATATACATATATTTTCGTTCCCCTCTCTCCCCTCTCCCAGATCTCGCTCGCCACTCTCCCAGATCTCGCTCTCTCACTCGCCTCTCTCACTTTATACAATTGATCTTTTTGTATATGTATACCAAAGCGGATTATACAACTGCTTTCTTTTGTATATGTATAGCGAAATATACATATTTATGTTTGCTATGGAGCGCAATTATGCAAACTTTGCTATAACATACAAATATGAATTTTGTGTTTGTTATATGTGAAAGTTGCTCTATTTTTTTTTTTATTATTATTATTATGGCTATGTACATAACATATCAAATAAAAAAAAATTGAAAATACTTTGACAAGATTATTTTTCATGGGCCATAGTGGGTCAATAATGAACAAAGTTGGACGGATTATGTTTTCATTAGCTAATTTTTCATATTTGATTCTATTTACTAAAGCCATCATCATATATTGATAAAGCCTGACATGTGCAGATCCTAGTGCTGAAGTTATTGCGTTATCCCCAAAAACTCTAATGGCAACAAACAGGTTCATCTGTGAAGTATGCAATAAAGGCTTCCAAAGGGAACAAAATCTTCAACTACACAGGAGAGGACACAATTTACCATGGAAACTAAAGCAAAAAACAAGCAATGAGATTAAAAAACGCGTTTATATTTGCCCAGAAAGTTCGTGTATTCACCATAATCCTGCTCGTGCTCTTGGAGATCTTACGGGGATTAAGAAACATTTTTCTCGTAAACATGGTGAAAAAAAATGGAAATGTGAAAAGTGCTCTAAAAAATATGCAGTGCAATCTGACTGGAAAGCCCATTCGAAAACTTGTGGCACAAAGGAGTATAAATGTGACTGTGGTACCATCTTCTCCAGGTTAATACTAATAATTTACTTACTGAATTCACCTGATCATCTTATCTAAAAATTTAAATTGTCAATGTATAAATTGATTTACTTAATTTTTGTTGAATTATCTGACTATTAAAGAGAGTAGGCTATGATGTTGAATTATGTGACTATTGAAAAGTATAGAAAAGATGTACGACCCTTATATAATATCATGCATGTCAACATTACTTTAATTTTAAGTGTCATCGACACTAAAGTAACTACTTCTTTTACAAAGGAAGACTTCGATATTTGTACTTTTAACATTACTACTATTTTCTTTGGTCATAACTGCAAATAATTGACATCTTAAATATTAAACCTATAGTAGACTAATTAATCTTATTAAGGCCGTCCAAAATTAATTTTTAATTTCTAGTTTGGTCACTACATGTTATTGACTATTTTATTATGCAGGAGGGATAGCTTTGTGACTCATAGAGCCTTTTGTGATGCTCTAGCTGAAGAAAACAACAAAGTAAACCAAGTTTTAGCCACTGGCACTGCAGGCAGCACCCAATTAGCCCCTGAACTTATTTCAACTACTCACATGTTGAACTTGCCACAAATCAGAAATTCAAACATGAAAATTCCTTCAATACCCTTAAACATGGCAGGAAGCATGTTTTCCTCTTCTTCTGGATTTAATCAGCTAGGCACAAATTCGTCGAATATGTCATCAGCAACAGCATTGTTACAACAAGCAGCTCAAATGGGTGCAACAGTGAGCAATAACATGAACTCTACTCTGTTTAATGGAGTTCAAATTCCAATTCAAAGTGATCATGATCATGATCAAAATCAAACACAATTTGGCAGCATATTGCAGGGATTTGGTGGATCTATGTTACAAAATAGCGGCGATGATCATCATAAGTCTTCAAGAGTATTGCAGAATGAGCACGGCTGGTATAATAGTCATAATAATAGTAATACTGGTTTGTTTAATGAAAAACAGGGGATATTGAATAAGGAAGCTGGCCATAGTAATGAGGAGAGCTTGACTCTTGATTTTCTTGGGATAGGAGGAATGAGACAAAGGAATTTACATGAAATGCATCAGCAGCAACAAGAAATGAGTTTCGAACAGCAAGAAGTTAGTCACCAAAGTATTCAAGGAGTGAACTCCATATGGGATGATTGAAAGAATTACTGAATTCTGAAAACAGAAAGCAGAGGCGGAATTACAATTTGAAGTTTATAGACTTGGGATTCAATTTTTTTTTTCATTATTGAACTCTAAATTAATAATTTGTACATATTCAGTGAATTTCTTAATGAAAATATAAAATTTGGACTAAAGTTACTAGTTCGGATATACACTTTGAAAGAAATTAGCAGCATTTGATCAGAGGCGTATCCAAGGAGGGGTCACCGGGTTCACGTGAACCCATGCTCCCCTCCCGAGATCATATATAGTAGTGTTATATTTTTTGAAATATAGATGTGTGAACCTATATTCGAAGTATCATATAATGCGATGATGACTGGGTGCACCTCTCTACATGAGGTTAGAAATTTGAATTTTATATTCATCTTGTTTAATTTTTCTTTGTAAAATTAGATAACACCTCTCTAAATGGTTATTGGTAACACTTTTGACATTTTAATTAGTTTTGGACCTATAATATTAATTTTAACGGTTTTCAGTAATAATAACCTAAATGTCCAACCGATCAAAATTTATATTTTAGATCAACCTTTTTGTAATAATGCACCCATCATCCCGAAATCCTGAATACGCCTCTGCATTTGATAGACATTAATTGTGTGGTATCTTATTTGCAACTTGCAAGACATAAGTCTGAAAAAAGTTCTGTAGGAATAAGACATATGTCTTAAGGCATAGTTTGTAAATGAACTTATGTTTTTATCGCCTTGCATTAGTTCGGTATGAATTAAGTTATATCGTGATTAATGGCAGAATCAAGATCTTCAAGGGATTCAAAAGATGAAGAAGTAAACACATGAACTAGCCAAAGAAGGTTCAACAACTACTATACATACATAAAAATATATTACCATGTATAAATAATGTAATTTTCCACCAAAAAAGTTCAGATGACCCCCTTAGCCCCAATTTGGCTCCGCCCTTTGGCCGTGAATTATGAACTTCTTAAGGCATAACATTTTGAAATTAAACTTATGTCTCTATCATTATAAGTTCCGTATGAACTAAGGTATAGCTTGTGGGTTATACCTGAACTTATGCTGCTAACACCATATAGTTCAATAGGAATTATAAAGCATGATTTGTATTATATTATGATACACAAATATAAACTTTTGTCTAACAATTTTTTTCCCAAACTCAAGGATATTAATTGGATCTTAGAAATGGATAGTTGAGTGGGTAATTTTATTTTTAGGTAAATAAATTAAAATCGAATGAATGCCTAGGATGATGCCACGTGTCCCTCCGTTTGGGGTGAGGGGTATACACAGCCTAAAAAATTGACGGCAAGGGTATATACATACGTAAAGTATAACGAAGGGTATATACATACTATTTACGATAGTTCGGATATATTTGTCCTTTTTCCCTTTATATATTCAATAAAATAAAAGTAAATAAAAAAAACAATTTATCTGATCAGCTCGATTGATTTTTCAGTTTAGGTGCAGGTTTTCTACGAACCGCATCCCAACCATCAGGGTAGCGTATAACTCACGAACCAAAAGGTACCACACTAAAGCGCTGTCGATAAAAGTCTGCCCCATTTCCAATTTAAATCAACCCTTTAATCTTCTGATATATAAACGGTAAACCAAAAAAATAAAATAAAAATTAGAACCATTACTCCAAATCTTCACTTTCTTGTACAATTCATTGATCAAGATCTGAAATTGTGATCTGAAGAAAACGCACAAAAGTTTCAGAGTGAGTGAGAGAAGTGAAATGGCGATGGCGAGGGTAAGCTCTGGCCTCGCGTATCCGGAGCGATTCTATGCAGCGGCATCTTATGCTGGGTTTGATGGATCTTCCGACTCCTCTACAAAAGGTGTCAGCTCCAAATTCTCAAACGACGCTGCTCTTCTACTATATGCCCTCTATCAGCAGGTTCTCAACATTTTCTGTCGGTTTCATTTACTTCTTATGTTCTACGCATTCATGATTTCATTTATGTACTTTGAGTTCTTCAAATGGCTTGATCTAGTGCTGCATTATGCGAATTATACTTGTGATTTTCATTTGTAATGTTATGAACGTTTGATTTGTTGCTAATTCAATTGGAAAGCGTGTTTGGAATATTGTTTTGGTTGAAATTCATGTAGATCTAGAGGGTTCATGTTAAAATCACATCAAACATAGGCATTGAATGCATGCATGTTAAGATAAAGAAGACTGTCTAGGAGTTAAGGTTGTCAAAACCGTGAAAATTGGAAGGTTGAGTTGAATGGTTGTGTTGTTTATACTAATTAGTGGAATGTGAAAACTCTAGCTTGTTTTGTAAGGTGTAATTTTTGTTTGACGTTCGAATTGCAGGCAACTGTAGGACCTTGTAAGATTCCTAAGCCTAGAAGTTGGAGTCCGGTAGAACAAAGTAAATGGACAAGGTTTGTTTTTCTTTCTTTTTTTTCTCTATGATTTGCATATGGCCTGATAATGTTATTCTAGGATAAGAATAGATGCTTGTTGTTCTTTATCTCTTTGTAGAACCTGTAGTTTGATTCTATAATTAAACTCGAGAAGATGGTTCTTGGGTGACCTTGTCAGTGAAGAAACAAAAACTGATTAGACAGTTTATTCTCTGCAATTTGTCTCTGCTAATCAATAAATTGTTACCATTAGTGTATTTTAAAGGATCTGTCCAAAGACTTAAATAATATATTAGAGAGAGAGAGAGAGATGTATTAATTAAATTTATATAGTTACCAGTGCAAAAAAGGGGAAATGTGTTGAACCCCCTTCTTCTATATGTGGACCCTATTGCTGAAGTACTTATGAGTTGCATCGGTTACCGTCAGTCATGGCTGATTAACACGTTCAGATGACTAAAATTCAGTGCTAATGGGGCTTGACGATTTGAATGATCTAATTATTGACTGAACCATTGTTGGTCAAACTGATGAGATAAATGGAAATTAACTGCTGAAATGAGAATGAAACCAATGAAGGTAATGATTTAGTGAAAATCGTGAATAAATGACAAGGACCATGCGGCTTTTAAGCAAAAAGAGAAAAGTGAAGCCCATGCTTCCTCGAGGTGAGCCACACAATTTACTAGATTTACACTTCGGGGTTGCCCAGTGGTTTGGGCTTGAGACTTCTATGTTGGAGGTCTCAAGTTTGAAACCCCTTGCCAGCGAAAACAAGGAGTTTGCCTTCTGGGTCGAGCTCGTCGCACCGGGCTTGCCTAGTGCGGATTACCTCTCCTATGTGGTTTGCGAGCTCTTGCATAGGAGCGGGAGTTTTATCCTGTGCGCACCCAAAGGGTAGCGGCAGCGGGTTTCCCTTGTTATAATTTTTTTTTTTTACCAAATTTACAAAAATTATGACATGAATTTTCTTGACTGCTACTAAAAGCACTAATTTAAGCATCAAGTACGTACTGTTGACGATATTAATATGACAATATTTAAATTAAAGGTAGGCATAACAAGTATTGGAAAGAGGTGATTAGACACGACATGTACACCTTCAGCTTACCAAGTACATGGCTCTAGATAGGAGGATATGGAAGTCGAGGATTAGGATAGAAAGTTGGTAGGTAGTCGAGTGTCGTCTAGTTTTCCTTTTCAGTATTGTTATTATTACTCTCCACTGTCATTTATATATTTTTTTATTACTTGTTGTTTACTTTGATTCGGTTACCATATTATCTATTGTAGTCACTGTTCCCTTCTCCTTTATTTTTAGCACAACTTCCTTACTATTGTATTTCCTTTCCATACTTGTTTTTGATATGCTTTACTTGAGCTGAGGGTCCATCGGAAACAACCTGTCTACCTTCACAATGTAGGGAAAAGGCTGCGTACACAACATCCCCACCCCCTCCCATAACCCATTTGTGGGATTACACTGGGTTTTCTGTTGTTGTTAAAATCAAAATCAATTTTTGACTTTCAATTAATTAACCAAGGAAAACAAGAAAAAGAAGTAGACGAAGGAACAAGAAAAAGGAAGAAAAGAACTTCCTCAAAAAAAAAAAAAAAAAAAGAGGAAGAAAAGAAATAGAAGTTGTAGAAAAACACTCGGTGATTTCTTTTCATCTGTTTGGTGGACAAAGTTACTTGGTACCTGTGCTGGTGGTAGATAGCAGGTATGGCGTGGAATTGATCGAGGTACCTGCAATCAAACCTGGGACAACAATTATTAAAAAAAAGAAGATGCAACAAACTCAAGAAGAAAAAGAAGAATACAATGAAAACAAAGAGAACGCTTAAACATTACCTGTACTCAAATAGCCTTTTTATTTCCTCCTTTTTTTCATCTTTTAAGGCTATTGCATGTTACTTATTTCTTCTGTTGGATTAGCTAGTTAGCTAGAAGTTTTGAGTGATAATGTATGTCCCACCTTTGATTGGTTGATCTCTCATTCCTTCTCTTCTTTATTTGATCTTCTGTTTTACATATGATGTTAGAGGTCAGTGCAGATCAGTTCTTTCCTATCTTACTATACTAAGTATTCCCATATCAGTGATGTGGCTTGAGCTGTGTACTAAAAGTTTTTGGTATTTGTGAAGCTGGAATGGGCTTGGAAATATGGCTTCCACAGAGGCAATGCGTCTTTTTGTGAAAATATTGGAGGTTTGTGTAGAGCTAATTCTTCCCAACTCTCGATAATTTAGGAGTATGAATTAAACACGTTAACATGTTTTGGTAGGAGGAAGATCCAGGATGGTATTCAAGGGCTTCAAACTTTGTTTCGGAGCCTGCAGTACAGGGTGAAAAGAATGTGAGTGTATATTAGTTTATACGATTAGCTTCTTCAACCATTTCTGTTTTCTTGTTGTTTCGTGCATCTGGACCTTCTTTTATTTGATGTCCCCAATTTCTTCTTTGTGCAGAATGAGACGATAGCAGAGACAGTTACTGAAAATGGAAATGTTCTTCCTGAGATAAAAACTATTCCTGCTGAAAATGGAATCTTGTCAGAACCTCAGGATAAAGATGTTGTATCAGAAGGCTCCGGTGCAGTTGGTGTGTATGACCAATGGGTTTCACCTCCTATATCTGGTCCACAGCCAAAATCTCGATATGAGGTAGTATTTGTTTTGCATTCTTTGGTTTTAAATTTAATTTTAATTCTCTTAAGCTCCCTTCCTCAAATTCTTCATCTCCTTTCACAGCATGGGGCAGCCGTTATTGATGATAA